CTGTGGGGAGTTTTGTATTCTCCTCCTTCAGCTCCTCCAGCTCTGTGTGGAGTTTCCTATTCTCCTCCCTCAGCTCCTCCAGCTCTGTGGGGAGTTTTGTATTCTCCTCCTTCAGCTCCTCCAGCTCTGTGTGGAGTTTCCTATTCTCCTCCCTCAGCTCCTCCAGCTCTGTGGGGAGTTTTGTATTCTCCTCCTTCAGCTCCTCCAGCTCTGTGTGGAGTTTCTTATTCTCCTCCCTCAGCTCCTCCAGCTCTGTGTGGAGTTTCGTATTCTCCTCCCTCAGCTCCTCGTGCAGCTGTTTTCCCTCCTCCCTGATGGCCATCACCTCCAGCTGAAGCTTCTGGCAGTGGGACTCCTTCTCTGAGAGCAGCCGGTCTTTCTCCTCTCTCACGCTCTGCAGCTCCTCAGTTACAGACTTGATCTAAAAACATTTCTTCATATTTAATCATCAGAAACTTCTCTAAATCTCTCAGAACCATCAGAAAGAGGACAGCTATCTGATAACTGGTATCTATAGAATTTGGAACCAGATTCAGTGAACTCACGTTTCTTTGTAATTCCTCCAGCTGAGAGCCCATGTCACTGGGAAGCTCTTCCTGCTTACTGATTCTTTCAGACTGAAGACGTTTGATCTCCTTCACCAGCTCGCAGTTCTTCTCCAGGACCGTCCTCAGCTGCTCCTGGTTCTCTATCATCTGTTGAAGAGGCAGCTCTCTGTCACTGCGATTCAACTAAACAAACAGCAGATGTAATGTTTAGAATGATAACCTGTTTGTTACCATCTCTACGTTTTCCTGCAGGTCCTCTTTGAGCTGATCTCTCTCCGCAGTAAGAGAGGCGACCTCAGCGAGCAGCCTCTGCACCTCCTCTGAGGAGCTCTGAGTGACGGCGCCTTGGTAAGCCGCTCTCTGCTCTCGCTCCGCTTGCAGCTCCTGGGACAGCCTCAGCATCTGTGTGCGGTCAGAAGAAGCGTTGGGGTCTCCGAGCGGGCAGGGAAGGAGGGGAGAGCAGGCTCCATCATTTACTCACTGACTCCTTTACCTCAGCCTCTTTCTGAACAGAGGTTTGCATCAGGTCATCGTTCATCTGCTTCTGTTCTCTAAGCTCTTCCTGAACGCTCCTTAGAAGAACTGCAGCTGCTTCATCATCATCATCCTTCACAGTGACCTCAGCACCAGCGCTCTGTGCCTGCAGCAGGGCCTCCTTCTCTGCTGCTGCACACTGGAGGGCTGCAACCATCTGTTTCAGCTTTGAACGCATCACATTCATATTACAAGCGTTAGGCATCTCTTTATGCTAACAGCATCATTGTACTGTGCAAAAGCAGATTCAAACAGCCTGGAGGCAACATCACCGCACTGAACGGTTGTTTTTAGCTCACCTCTGAGTCCTTTTCTTCTAGAGACGCTAAAAGCCGACTCCTTTCAGACTGGGATTCCTTCTGCTCTGCCTGCAGTGTGTTCAGCAGCTGTGTTACATCAGAACATTGCTGGCTCAATTCCTTCTCCTTCTGAGCGCTGCTTCCAAGTTCTGCCTGAATTTCCACATTTTCTGTCTTCAATGCTTGAAGCAGGTCTCTGAGCTGCTCGGCCTCTTGTTCAGTCTGAGCCTTTCCTGACTGAAGGTCGTCTCTTTCCTTTCTCACAGCCTGCAGCTGCTCAGTCAGCTCAGCCATCTGAAACAGGGTTAGCATGTTAGTCTGATGCAGCTCAGGGGGGGGGGGGGACCCCCTTCCAGGAGGTTGATAGGATTCACCTGTTGAGTCAAGCTTTCCAGCTGAGCTTTCAGAGTCTGAACTGAATCCTGAAGTGTTTCCTCTGCTTCCTGAGACACAGCCAGCTCCGTCTTCAGGCTGCTCACGCTCCGGTCCAGTTCCACACTTTCCAAGATCCCTGAAGAAACACCACAGCTCAGAGGTTGCATGGAGTCACAAGGAGGCCTACCTACATCCAGGTTATAGGTTACTTGTTGGGACTGTGGCATCATGAAGAGCAGCGAGGTTTCCATCATCCACTGCATCACTGGGCTCTTCTGATAGACTGTTATCAATCTTTGCATCGCGGCACCTTTCCTTCTCCAGCTCCACATGCAGGTCATTAACCTTAGCTTCCAACCTCTCTTTGGTGGCAGTCAGGGTCACCTGGAGAGATTTCAATAACTACATAAAACACTGCAAAGAACTGAAATCTAAAGTAATTTCTCTTTAAAATATGTACTTTTGAGGGGCTAAGTGAGACACTTAGCCAATGGAACAAGACAATTTACATTTAATATAAGAAACAAACAATTGCATTGTCTTATTTCAAGTGTATGTTTTCTAATGATCTTATTTAAAGTCGTAGGGAAACGGCTGTTCCAACCGCTGCATTTCCAAAGTGCTTGACTTTACACGAGTGAATAAAGTGAATGTGATTGGTCAATTATCAAGGGGGCGGGATTGTTGTAGCGGAAGATTCAAGCAAGTTTGGTTGTGGCCGGTTTCTCTTAGCATCTAGCTAACCAGTTAGCAACTTAGTGCTACTTGGTCCCAATGGGAAATTCCATTGGGACCAAGTAGCACTAAATTGGTGACTTAGAAACGACACTGTCAAGGAACGCTATGGACAGAGGAAACATGCAA